CCCATAGCCTCCTATAGTGGGGCTACAAATAGCCTCTATCTGGCTTCTGAATACATGCCCAAGACATAAAAGAGAGTCCTCAGCTGTGCAGGAATGCCCAAAACCCAGCCTTCAGAGAACAAAGCACTGTCCAGAAGTCAGCAGGGTGTGGTACTTAGCTTGCAGAAAGGCTTGGAGCTTGGGACAGATCTGGGCTGAGAGTTCAGAACCTCTGGCCTGGATCTGGAGGTAGAAGGTGGTGGGAAGGTGAGTGGACCGAGTCCAGTCTATACAGCTCACAGGAGGCTGAGAGTCAAGCTCGCAGGCAGGGCCTTGGCTAGGTGGTCTCAGGCACATCCACCTTGAGCAATTGCAGTGGACTACACTGCAGAGGTCTGGTTGGCCTGCACAAGGATCTCAGAACACTGGGGGAGTGTCAGGGGACAATGGCTCACTTTCTTACCTGTGCTGACTGTGGGTGTGGCTCTGTCTGCAGCCAGCACTGCAATTCATGGGCCACGCAAGCCTGCAGAGAGAGCACATCCAGTGGTCTGGCCAGAGGGTCACCCAGTGCAGCTAACCCCTGCTAGGCATCCTCATGGAGCTGCAGAGTCACAAAACCTCATTGTCAGAGGCCCCTTGCAGCCTTCCCCACTTGCACAGAGGTTTTAAAAATTAATCTATTCAGAAGGTAACTGTCGCTATTCAGCCACCATCCATGCCTCCCCATGACTTTTCATGCCACTGAGATTCCATTCTGCTCCGCTGAGCCTCAAGGCCCTGGGCCCTGGTCATTGTCCACACTAATTATCCCATAAAGACAGGAGCTTGTTCTAGGCCAGACAAAGTGCTGCACTTGTCTGAGGGGCAGCGATGGTCACAGACTCATAAATCACGATGTTCCAGCCATACCTGAATCAGAAGGGTGAAAAGAAAGAACTAGAACCTGAGCTGATACTCTCTGTCATTGACCCAACCCCCTTTAGGGACAGACTCAAGAGCTTAAACAAAGGTGGCTTCCCATGTAAGAACTGACAAGGGCTTAAAGCAGCTGCCGGTGTGCTCCTGTGCAATAGGGTCTGTGCAGTCAGCTGGCACTGTACAGACATCTTGGCTGTACCTTGTCACTGTGGGCACCCACTGCCAAGATTATTCTGAGCCATGACAGCTTCTGGTGGATCATTCCTCAGAACTGCAAGATAGGTGAATATTCACAGACACAGCACTTCTCTACACCCCACCAGAAGCTCACGGCAACTCCACAGGGTGCAAGAGGGGGAGTTCCCAGAGTGCATGGGAACTTGCTGGTCAGACCCAGGGAAGGTGTCTATGCTTCCAAGATAGGAGCAGCAGCCACTTGTTCCTCTGAGAGCTCTGAGACTGGCAGCAGGGACCTGCATGTTGTAGCCCAGCACTGCCAAAGTAAGTGTGACTCCACTTTCCAGGAAGGTAGGAACGAAGCCACAGGTGAGCAACAACGGTCACCATTTTGCTCCCGAGAAGGAAGAGCCTAAGAAGATTTTGTTCTAGGCTGGCCTGTTAGATTGCAGCTATACATGTTTAATCTTCTCTACACCCCAATAAATTGATGTTGAATGTCCAAAGAACAAAGTCCACGCCTAGGCACCAGGAATGCCTCTGGTCAAATTCTTCTCATGCCCTGGTTACACCTAGGAGATGATTCCCAGGAGACCCATGTTTTGTGATCTTATCGAATGTAGACATAAACTGTTTCTTCAGTTGTACATTAGGCTTTTATGCTACACATTAAAGAAGGATCCAAACCTCCCAGAGGATGGTAGAACAGCACAAGCATCCAGTACCACTCAGGATCCTGGGCTGCAGAGAGCAAGGGGTCTCCATATCCCTATCACAAGCCAAGCCATTTCCCTACTACTTACCCATGGGTAAGTAATGCAGTTAAATAAGGATCAGGATAAACAAATAGGCCGAATAGATGTTTATTCAGGGAGAAATAACTTACAACCTAGACAGATGAACACCAGGAAATTCAACCCGATCCTCTCCTGTCCGAGTCACACCAGAAAGAGAGCGCCTTTAGTCACACCAGAAAGAGAGCGCCTTTCCTGGCCCCCTCCGACTCCTTCCACAGGTCACTCCGCCCATGGCTCCACCCCAATGGGCGTGGTCAGTGCCACAGAACTATCTCACTACAGGTAAGTCACTCAGGACACAAAAGAGTAGAACAGATGGAGGAAGAGCATTCTAGTACTGGGACAGAAACAGCTTAGCATGATTCCAGAGACTACTGTAGAGGGGACATACCTCCTCTCTACTCAGATGTCTCCTTACTCTGGTCTGATGAGGCACCTGGTGACTTCCCCAGGGCCCCATTGGCAGCCAAGCCTAGGCTACAACTTGCCCCTGAGCCACTGGTTGCAGGTCAGGGTTCCCGGGTGGCGGTGAATATCAAAGAGATATCTTGAATGTACCTGGGCCTCATACCACTGCCTGGATTCCCAATCTCTAAGGTCACTCATTGCGTCTCTCACATTTATGATCATTAGTTGCTTCTTAGGACTTGGCACAGCCTGGAACTCTTGCCTGGGAATGCATTTCTTCATCTGGATTTCTGATGTCATCTACCTCCACCAAACACCTTCCCTAAGCAAAGCCTCATTTGTACACAACAGACCTGGCTGCTCAGGGATAAGAAGACCTGCTCCACCCATGTTAGGTAGGCTGTCCTCAGCACAGAAGCCACACCCTCAGTATTTCGGGGAAGGCAGTCTCAGTGCCCAATGTGGGGACAGTGCTTTCAGAGGACACTCCAAGAACACCATAATATAACTTTAAAATCACTGCAATCTTGACAACAGAACAGACTTCAGGGAACACCTAACAATGTTCCAGCATCAACACCTAGCAATGACTGCTGAGTACCAGGAAAGAAAGTCTGACAAGTTAATGTAAAAGTGGAAGAGACTCCAAGGCTATCTGGAGGGGCTGACTCTCAAGCGTAGTACATAGCAATGAACTCCTCTAAAGGATGCCCAGCAGGGCAGAAGGGAAGCTTATCTGTCTGCTTGTACTTCAGGAATTAAAGGAAACCACAGTAATTCCATCATGGGACTTGGAATACCATTTGTACATGGTGTCTTGTAAGTCATCTTTAATAGGTTTTCTGTAACACAATAATAGGTATCTTCACTGACAAAGTAAGCCACATCAAGCCAAAATGAAAAAGCATAAGAACACATATATTTGAGCAAAGCAACTCCCGGGCCAGTCCTCCATCCCCAGAGATGGGGTCAGAGAAATCATGAGGTTGAACTTAAAGCAGGGAGCTTATATACCCTGTAGGCGAGGGGGTGATGGCATGTCCTCTACAAGCTGGATTTGTGCCCAAGTATGGTCAAAACTGAATGCTTGGGCTGCTGGCAACTTCAGGGGAGGGGCTTCTGTAGCCGTCAAAAATTCAGAGCTGGACTATTTGGCACCTTTTCTTTGCTGGAGATTTTCTGAGAGGATGGGAGAGAGAGAGAGAGAGAGAGAGAGAGAGAGAGAGAGAGAGAGAGAGAGAGAGAGAGAGAGAGAGAGATGGGGCTTTCCTGATCAAGCATGAGTGAGCTGGAGGATCCAGCCGAACAGTCTCTAGTGCCAATTACTTGTAGAAGCAAAGCACAAAAGCTCTTTAACCACCCACCAGGACACCCTGGCCTGTGCCACCAGGGGAAAATGTCAATTAGGAAACATAAGAAGTGAGCCACTAAATAGTGTTCAGAGAATATGGGACAGCAGGATGCAGACTAAGAACAATGCCTAAAATTACTAGAGAAAAACTGGGTAGTCATGGTGCATGCCTTTAATCCCAGTGCTTGGGAGGTAGAGGCAAGCAGATCTCTGAGTTGGAGGCCAGTCTGGTTTACAGAGCTAGTTTCAGGACAGCCAAGGCTACACAGAGAAACTCTGCCTCGAAAAACCAAGCACCAAACCAAACCAAAAAACAAACAAACCAAAAAGCCCCTCTGTCTCATTTAATTGCTCTCTTGTGTCAAAACTCTAAATTAATTTCTATAGTGGCATTTAGTTAACGTTTCTTTCATTTTTTTTTAAAGATTTATTTATTTAATATACTTTGGTGTTTTGCCTGCACGTATGTCCGTGTGATGGTGTCAGATGCCCTGAGGCTGGAATTCCAGGCAGTTGTGAACTGTCATATGGGTGCTGGTAATTGAACGCTGGTCCTTTGGAAGGGCAGGCAGTGCTCTTAACCACTTGAGCCATCTCTTCAGCCCCCAGTTAGCATTTGTATAAACAGTGTATAATGGTTTCTTTCTCCCTGCATCCTAGCTGGTATTTGTTACTCTTCATTTTATTGGTGATAGCCATTCAGGCTGGGGTGAGGTGGGATCTCCATACAGTTCTGATTTATATTATTCTGATGACTAAGAATGTTGAACATTCTTCGATGCATCTATTATCCATTTTTAGCTCTTGTTTTGAGAACTATGTTCAATCAATCTCATCGCATATTGGATTGGCTTTTTTCCCCCATTTCTTCCTCCATAAAGTGTTTAGTTGCCAAAGATTACTTTTCTGTCATTCTTTACTCTTATTTTAACTTTTAATTTTAGTCATGTATATGTATGTATGTGTGTGTCTGTGGTTTGAGTATGTGTGTAGGACCTGTGTGTTAGGAACTAGCAGCCAGCTGACCCTGCGCGCCAAGCACGCCTCTCTCTCTGGTCTCTCTCTGGTCTCTCTCTTGCTCCCTCTTGCCCCCTCTTGCTCTCTCTCTGCCCCCCCTCTCCTGCCTTCGATTGGCCACCAGCTACACCCTTTCTCTCCCTTCTCTCAATAAACTCCACGTGGGCCCTGAGTCTCGTGTTTGTGTTTCTTAGGCATTAGCTGCGTAGCAAAAGAACAACACCGTGGAGACTAGAAAGGGACATTCAATCCTTTGGATCTAGAGTTAAAGGAGGGCCACTTGACGTCGGTGCTGGGAACTGAACCTTGGTCTTCAGCAAGAGCTGTATACTTTGTTAACTGCTGAGGTATCACTCTAGCCGCATTCCTCCTCTTCCTCCTCCTCTCCTTTTTTTTTGGTAGGGGTGGTTGACAAAGTCAGTGAATTCTTTATTGCTTCCAGGGTGTGGGGCTCTGGCGTTCTTGGTTGGGCGAGTCTGTTTCCTCTTCACGACTACATTCTTCCGGTTTGGCAGGATGTCACTGGCTGTGCACATGACCACCATGCACCGATCAGGGTGGTACTTGTTCTTGCTGATCATATGCTTGATGCTGCTGAGGGTGGCCTGTGCATTTTTGTTGATGGTGGGCCTCATGTAAAAAGTGGCTGGTTTTCACTGACCTCATGACCACCATGACCCCTTTGTCCTCGGGCGCGGGCTCCACTCCCACAGTCTTCTGGTGAAGCAGCCCATTATAGCAGGAGTTGTGGGCCTTCAGATGAGTGGGCCCAGCGCTGTATGTCTGCTTATTGGTCTTGATCAGGAAGCTGGAGCCTTTCTGAAGGACCACCCATTGCAGAAGTGTGGACATGGCGGCCACTCTTCTCCCTATTGCAGCTGGTGGCAGAAAGAGACTTTACTCTTCTTATTGGCTCCTTTGCTGTTCCTTTGCTGTGAGGAAACTTTTTAATCTCATGCAATCCTATTTGTCAATTCTTGCTATTATTTCCCAGGTAGCTGGAGTCCTCTGCAAAAAGTCCTTGCTCATGATGACATCCCGAATCTTCTAGCAGTTTCAGTTCTTAGTTTCTTACACTAAACTAACCATGCTTTGGATAAACCTAAAGTGATATGCCTTATCTGTTCTGGCCTTAGGCTACCTACCCCCCTCAATCCCTGAAAACGGCAGTAGCCCTCTCCCTAAGTCCTGCCTCCAGACCTTCCTGGCCACTTCATTCTTCAGGAGCGGCCAGCATGCCCGTGCCAGCCTGGACCTCACACGCTAGAGCCTGGCCTCTACATTCTGGAACAGCTCAACTTCTGTCCTTGTCATGATCATCTTAGTGCAATGTTAAAAGTCCCTTAGGACCCTGGCTCTGTGACCTTGCCCAACCAACTACTCTTGCTCTCCTTGCTAGGAGCCACCCACCCTCAAAGCTCTCCCCACTCCATGCCTGCTGTTCAGCAGGGACAGCACTGGTCCCGGACACCTCCCCGCAATGCAGTTGAACAGCTGGCCAGCTTTCTGTGATCTAAATATTCTTTCATATGATGCTGCAAGGCCCTGGGCCCTGAGGTTGAGTGGCTTCAGACATCCCTAGGGACCTGTTAAAACTAAGACCCTTACTGATGCCAGCAGCTAACATGCAAGGCTTGGATGTTCTTAGGTCATGACACCACACCAGGAATCTTATAGTGGGGCTCGTGATCTCAACCACTGTGAACTCCAGTTTCTAGTGCTGTCCCCAATCCTGAGGAGCACAACACACTTAACCAAACTCTGTGTTTCCAAGTTTCATTGCATTTGCCCAGCTTTCCCCCAAACTCTCATTCCTTTTCCTCTTGACTTCCATCAGAATATCCTAACACTGGCCCTACCCTACCAACGACCCTGACCATAACCCCAAACCAATCCTCCACTCACTCCCATCATCATTCAGAACACACCACCCTCACCCCAGTGCCCTGCATCTCAGGAAGAAAAGCCACAGGGTTCTCTGTCCTCTGCTGTCTCTTCTTTCCGTATATGGCAATGTCTCCTAGGAACTCTCCAAAGTTCAACTTTCCATCCATCTTTTATTGGAACCCATCTGCAGCAGGCTGAGTAAGGCTGCACTCCTAGGGTGCTCCAAGTTCCCTCCTTAAGGCTCTGTACCCATCCAAGGACGGGTCACTCCATGTTCACTTCAGCTTTGTGTGCCCAGTGCTCCACACCTTGTAAGCCCCAACGCTCCACCTACTGTGAGAAGCATCTGTGCATCACAGGGCCTGTCTCAGCTGGCTGGCATCTGTCCTGCTTCCTGACAGGCAATTCTGCTGCTCTTGCTTCTTTACTGGCTACTTTCAGTTGATCCATCACCGACTTGTGGTCACTGAAGAGTCCACTAGCACATATCGATGCTCCGGACAGTAGGCAGCATGCTACAAGACAAGTTACGTGGCATAAAACATGAGTAGGAGTTCTGTGCCAACTACAATGAGCTAAGTGCTTCAAGCACTTGGACAATTGACTACAGAGCAGTTCTCCACATATACAGGCATGTGATCTGCCCTGTCGTTCAGGCCAGATTATGTTCCCAGGACTCATGACTGCCTATCCAGCAGGGATAGATCTTCCACACTGACTTAGCCCCTCACAGGCCACTGAGCTTTGACTTGCTTCTGGGCAGGCCCACCCTCCAGGCACTTCCTCCTTCCCTCTACTCTCTACCCTTCTAAACATCATGCAGGCACCAGTAATGATACAATGCATGGGATTTGTGCCAGAAAGCCAGGCCAATTTAGTGATGCAAAGTCCTCAGTGACTTTAGCCCACAAATGCAGTAAAGGAGAAAAACTATGGGGCTTTCCTCAGTTATAGAAAAACGATTCATAAAATCTACATCTGGTGCAGGCAAGATGGTAAAGGCACCTGAGACTTTAAAGTCAGTCTCTGAAACCCAAGCGGTGATAGAAGAGAACCAACTCCTAAAAGTTGTCCTCTCTCTCCCCCCTCCCCCTCCCTTTCTCTCTCTCTCTCTGTCTCTCTCTGTCTCTCTCTCTCTCTCTCTCTCTCTCTCTCTCTCTCTCACACACACACACACACACACACACACAGAGACACATACCACAACTAAATAAATAAAATGTAATAGATTTTTAAAAATCTACTTCATTTCTGCAGGCTGGGCAGTGGTGGCACACACCTTTAATCCCCACCCTATGGAGGCAGAGGCAGGGGATTGAGGTGAGTTCAAGGCCAGCTTGGTCTACAAAGTGACTTTCAGGACAGCTAGGGCTGTTACACAGAGAAATCCTGTCTTGAAAAACAAAACAAACAAACAAATGGTTTAGGAAATAACTTCAAGCCAGAACAAGGGACTGGCCTAAACTGGGTAATAGAGTATAAAAATTATCCCACAAACATAGGATTCAATGTTAATGTGCCCCATTGGGTGATATTAAGGCCCTAAGCAGTCTAAGTAGCATGAGGAAAAAGCAAAAACTATCAAACTTGAAAAAAAAAAAACAACAGAAAACTAAAAATAAAAGATATCATTAGTTACTGACAACAGATTAATTTTATGTGCAAAGCCATGAAGAATTTAAGGTTAAGTTAGAATAGGTAAGTTTACACAGATGTCTTACACAAAGCCAACACTAAAAACCACTTACTACAGGGCTGGAGAGATGGCTCAGTAGTTAAGAGCAGTGCCTGCTCTTCCAGAGGTCCCGAGTTCAATTCCCAGCATGGCAGCTCACAACTGTTTGTAACTCCAGTTTCAAAGGATCTGGCACCCTCACACAGACATACATGCAGGCAAAACATCAATACACATAAGCTAAAAAATCAAAAAACAGAACAAAAAAAAAGAAAGAAAGAAAGAAAGAAAAAACCCAATTACTACCTATAAGTAAGAAATAGTCTTAAAAAAAGAAAAGAAAAAAGAAAAAAAGTCACTTAATGGCACAAAAACATCAGATTCCTTGGTGGTAAATCTAATGTAAGAAGTGTATGTACAAAGCCATAAAACATTAAAAATCTTAATGGCAGGTAAATGTACTTGCCACCAGGCCAGACAACCTGAGTTTGGTCCTAGGACCCACAAAATAGGAGAGAACTGACTCCCACACGCTGTCCTCTGGCCTCTACATGTGTGCTAGGGCAAATATGCCCACATACATGCACGTACAAATGAATAAATAAGTATTTAAAAATTAAAAAAATTCAAAGGCAGAATAAAGGCCACACCATACTACCTACAAAATTCCTAATTTTGAAACTAATAGATTACATACCTTATCCATGGAAACAGCAATACATATACCTAGTCTACATATCTGCATTTGAATGTGTGCAAGTGTGTGCACTCACGTATGCACGTGAACATGTGTGTGTTCTTTACTTTGTGACACGTGTCTTACACTCTGATTCTGGGCACAGATAAAAAGGCACAGACTTGCAAGGGGGCTGTGTTGCTGAGGCCCCACTCACGGCAGAGCCACAGCGAGGGAAGTAGCAGGAAGACAGATGGTGAAACAGAATGGCCATTCCAGCCAAGGCTGCCCACACATAGGACTTCGATATGCCACTGGGGTGTCACTACAGACTGGGAACTGCATCCTCACTGAAATTTGCACCCTGCCTCACAGCCTACACAGACATCAGTGGAAATATCTGGAGGACCTCAGCAACATAAATATTTCTGCTGTGGAGCAAATCTTTTGTACACTATGAATATGTATTACTCTCATTGGATAATGAAAGCTGATTTGGCCAATAGCCAGGCAAAAAGTATAGGTGGGGTGATCATACTAGGGATACAGGGAGAAAGAAGGGTGGAGTCAGAGAGTCGAAAGGAGATGCAGGGAAGCAAGATGAATGGACCATGCTACTGAATTTATTGCCATTTGGCAGAGCAGAAATAAGGAACACACATTAAATTAAAATGTAGGAGCTAGTTAGTAATAAGCCTGAGCTGTTGCCCAAACATTTACAATTAATATAAGCCACTATGTGAACATTTGGAAGCAACTCCTGGGAAGGGAAAATTCCACCTAGAGATTTCCTACAAATCAAAAAGGATAAGGTAGTGGGCAAGAATGGGGCTTCCCTCAATAGGGGACCAAGTGCCCAATGTTTTTGGGAAGACTGATGGTTCCAAGGACTGGAAGTACAGGGGTGTCACTGCCAAACAGCACAACCATCCAAAGCCAAGGACTTAGCATATGTGGTGATCAATGAGGGCTCATAATGGTACAGACCCCCTATCCACAGCACCTGTGGGGCCATCCACACAGGCCAGGAAGGACATTCCCAGCCCTATGGGCATGTTCACCACACAGATGATCCAGGTTAGCTATGGACAGTATGTAAAGGAATCTGGGCTGCTGGGTGGGCAGTGGCCCCTGGGATGGGAACTGGTAGGGTGAGTGGAACATATTCTGTGGGCATATAACCATGGTCATCCACTGAGTTGGGTTAGTTCATTTTATTTTTATGTTCTGTACTTAATAAATCAGGTAGGATTTTTTCGCTTGTCTGTTATTTATTTTTAATTTATTTGTTTTAAATTTAATTAAAATTGTGTGTGTGTGTGTGTAGGGGAGATAATTTACCTGCATTATGTGTCTATATTACCTGATGCCTGCAGAGACCAGAAGAGAGCATCATATCCCCTGGAACCAGGGTCGCAGATGGTTTTTGAACAGCCGTGTGGGGGTGCTGGGAATAAAAAACAGGTATCCTGGAAGAGTAGCAAGCACTTTTAACAGTCCAAAGTCCTTATACACAGAGTCTTACTATGTACCAGGCTTTATTCTGGTCTTGATTCACCGTGGTCCTCTCTGTTTGTTTGTTTTGTTTTGTTTTTGAGACAGGGTTACTCTGTG